GAGAGATAAAGATATGAAAGATGAGTTACAGAGGTAAAAATAAAAATAAAAATAAAAATCTATAACTCATATGTATGTATGGTCGTAGTTAATAGTGCAGTATGAGATAGGGGTCATGATGGTCATGCCCAAAATAAACAGTGGCCAAAGTGATCAGGGCCGTAGCCTTGGAAAAAGTAATGACCGAAGTCAATGTGGCTGGAGCCATAGTAAGGAGTGAGGACCGGAGGCACAGTGGCCGGAGCCGTAATAAACAGTAACGACCGAAGTCATAGTGTGCGGAGATTGCGGCTGCGGTCGTCATCGGTGGCGAAGTCGGCGGCATTAATCTCGAGGGGGCCGCCCCAGGGATCGCGACCGTACATGCTCATTTTGGGATTTGGTATCTTGTATTGGGTAGATCTGATTTGTGAACTGTGATTGTGAGATCTTGGATTGAATGAGAGGAGGAGTGAGGGTGGACTTAAAAACTTGAGAAGTGGGGCAAGGGCAAATAAGTACTAATACTAGTAGTCCTCCTAAATCCTAATATTATAAATAAAAATAAAATATAATGTAAATTGCTTGCCTCGCACTCGCTGGTTGGAAAGGAAAAGGAAAGTGGTGTCTGTGAGAGAGAGAGAGAGAGGCCAATAATTCAAGGTATCATATTCGTAATCGTAAGGTTGCGATTCTTTCATTTTGTTTTCTTTTCTATGTTGTTGGGGTTGGACGTTGGATGGAAAAAGCAAAAGGCAAAAGGTGCAGATCACCCCCTTAACTCACCTACTGGTGGCAAATCACCCCCTCAACCCATTTCACGCGCATGCTACCCCCTCAACTCACTTCCAGTGGCAAATCACCCCCTGCCATCATTCTTCCGTTAGCTTTTAACAGTCCGTTAACCCACCCCTTTTTTGCATCTGCTGTGGCATTTTTTATGCTGAGATGGACAAGCCACCTGGACAAATCATCCTCAGGCAATGCCCGGTACTGCCGCCGACGTCAACCAGGCGCTGGATCCCATCAAACCCACTGTAGGCTTCTAGCATTGCTTTCATGAA